CCCCCCCCCCCCACTCCTGTTCCCGCACCGGCAGCCACGCCTCCCAGCCTCACAGACCTTCCTCCCTGTGGTTCACAGGAACCCTGGGAGAGGGGGGGGTGGACGATGAGGTGCCATGACCCTCACTTGACAGAAAGGGAGAGAGAGGAGCAGACAGGTGCCCGCCCCCCCACTCCCCAGCAGCCCACTCTCGTGGGGCCCAAGGATGAGATGCTCCTTTCCCTGGGAGCTGAGCTGCCATGGCCTATGAGTGCCCACTTGGCTCACGTGGGCAGCCAAGGAGCCTGAGTGCCAGCTGGGCCCAGTCTACCCCAACCCACTGTGGTGCCTGCCTGTGTCCAGGGGCTGCTGGCCGGCCCCACCCAGAAGACAACGGCGGGAGAGGGCAGAGCTGTGTCCTGGAGTGCTCTGGGCCCAGGGATCCTCCTCCAGCCTGGGCATGGCTGGCACCAGGTTTGGGGGCCTATCAGGAAGGGGGAAGGCAGAGAGGTATGCCCTCCGTGGGGTCCATGAGGAGTGCTATGTCCACAAGGGAACACCAAGGGTCCACATGCACCCAGGGAGCCCACAGGCTGCCCTCCAGGGCCCCCACCCTTCCCAGCAGCCAACACTCTGAGAGGAAGTAATTAGGGCCCAGGTGAGTCATATGATCACAAGGCTGCCTCCCAGCTGACTCAGGGGGACAGTCCAGATGGGCCCTTCCACGGGCCTCAGCTCAGGGCCTGAGTCAAGGATTCCAGGAGGTGGGGGGCCTGACCAGGAAGCCCAAGAGAAAATAAAGCCCCAGCCCACTTGTGAATCACTAGCCAGTCTTGTCTCCAAGCTCTCCCCTGAGCCCAGGCTGGGGGATGGGAGGAGGTGGGGCTCCCCACTTCACTGGGCTGGGCGGGGCTGGGGCAGGAGGCCAGGTTGCTGCAGTTTCCCTACCCCCACCTCAAGCGCGCCCATCCATCCAACAAACAGCTATTGTTATCAATCATGATAATTATTCAGAGTGGCCACCATGTTCTGACATTGAACTTCAGCTCTGCACAGGCCTCGGGCTGGACACAGTGGGGGCCCCATGGAGAAGGCCAGACACGCATCTGTAAATAGCAGTTGTGTTGATAAGAGTTGGGCAGTGTGAGCTCTCTCTCACACGTGTGCTGGGGGCTCTGCCAGGACCAGCACGGGAGGGAATGAACCAGCGTCCTACCGGGAGCCAGCTGTACCTCCTGGCAAACAGCACCTCCTGGTGTCCAAACTGGGCCTGGCCCTCCCTCCCATTGGATACCCACGAAGCCAGGTATGAGGGTGTGCCCTGCCATGGCCAATAACCCAAGCCCATCCTTGCTTCTGGGATTAGATAGGGTTGGGCCTTCTAGATGTCTGGACCTCCCTCCACCCAGGATCCCCAAAGGCGCTTGGCACTGAGCATGGCCCAGTGGAACCCGACCAGGGGCAGCAGGATGGAGCCCTGCCCCCCACCCCTGTAGCACCTCTCCATCAACCCCAGAGCCCCCTCAACTGCCCCCTAGCCCAGCCCCTGAGGCAGGTCCCCATGGTCCCAAGGCTACTTTCCTGGCTTTGTCCCCGTGATGGCTGGGCAGGAACTTCCTGCTGGAGAATTCCCGGATCCTTCTAGGAGGCTGCAAGCCAGGCCTGGGAACTTAGGAGGGAGGGAAACCAGGGCTGCTCTGACTATGAGGGGCGGGTCCGTGGCAGCAGGGGCTCCCCCGGCGCTCACTCTGGGCCCCAGGTCCTTCCCCTCCCCTGGGTCAGGTGCATTAAACCTCCCGTCCTCCAGCTCAGATGGAACCCAGGGCTCTGCAGCTGGGGTGGCCTGGCAGCCTGTAGGCATGGACTAGAACTAGACTGAGAACCCTGAGCTTGTTCCTGGGTGGAGGATGAGGGGCCAGGTCGGCAGACAGACAGGCAAGGAAGCCAAAGTCAAATTGAGTTTTATTAATAACATCACAGGCCTGAGTCTGAAGGGTGGGGACAGTGTGCCGGGCAGGCCCACCCTGCAGACACATGGACATCATTTATTAAAGACCCCTTGGCCCTAGGGGCTCCTTGAGGTGCCCTAAGAGGAGGCGGATACATCTCTACACGGGCTGCAGGGACCCGGGGCAGGGCAGACTCAGGCCAGCACCAGCTTCACTCTGGAGGCCAGTTTTCCATCTCATCCATCTCCTCAAAGGAGCAGGTGCTGGGGGGCGGAAGTGGGTGAAGGGAGATGGCTTTGCATCTTTGGGCTCTCCTCTTCCTGCCCTGTACCCCCAGAACCATCCCACCTGCCCTCAGAGACAAGCACCCCAAGGCCACCTTTCCAGACCCTCCCCCAGGTGCCCACAGCAGGCCAGGCCCACTAGCCCTGAGCCACCTCCCTCCCACAGAATGGAGGTAACCTTCTCCCTCCAGCTTGGGGGATTCCTGGGAAGCCCCTGGAGACAGGCACCCCAGCCAAGCCCTCCCCTCCTTCACCTCTATCCTAGACACCACACCAAGGGGGCTCTGCACCCTTCCCTCCAGCCTAGGGTGGTGCTTCTGGTGCCTCAGCGCCCCTCCCCCAGGTCCCCAGCATTCCCCAAAGGCTGGGGGGCAGCTTCCTTCCCCCCTCAGCTTGGTGTCTCTGAGGGCAGATAAGGAGAGAGTGGGGGGAGGTAATGAGGACAGAATCCTTGTAACACCCACAGCAGGAAGATATTCCTGAGGCAGCCCTGTCCCCAAGTGAGGACTCAGCTGGTCCTCTACTCCAGAAACTCCCTAGGGGCCCCCAGTGCTGCTCAGGCTACCCTAGGACTGTGACCCCTGGGGCTGGGGCAGGCCGGCTCAGGGGGTGGCCCTGGAGGGGCGGGGAGAGGGGAGGAGAGCTCCCTTTAGCAGGAAAAGACAAAAGCAGGGGCCCTGCCAGAGCCACCACCTGTGTGGTTTAGGGGGAGGCTCCCCAGAGCACAGAGGGGCGCCCTGACACATAGCCTGCAGGCTCAATACAACGGGAAGGCTGCCCCTCAGTACCTGGTGGGCAAGTATTTCCGGTATTAACGACCCCCAAGGGGTGAGTCATAATCCCTGACACTGGAGTGCCCTTTGAAGTTGAGGGCTACACACTCGTCAGCTCATTCGATCCTCCAATGGTCCCCTTTTCAGGTAAAGAAACCAAGTCCCACATTCAGAGTCACAGAGCAAGTCATGCCAGGTCAGAGACTTCGACTAAAGACTTTGCTCCTTCCTTTTGTAAACTACACACACCTTCAGGGGCAGATGTCCACTGAATGAAAGGATGAGCTGATGAATGAGTGGAAATTAACCCAAAAAGGACACTGACACATTTTTCATCAACATATCCATCAATGTGCACTCAGAGAAGCTGGGACAGGCCTAACCTTTAAGGCCAATGTCAAGTAGGGTGGGCTGTAGGTGGTCCTTGGTGTGACCAGGTAGGTAACTCCCCCGCACCTATGTGTGTTTGTGGGAGTTGGTGTGGGTGTGAATGGGAGAGAAAACAGAAAAGGAGCAACATTATGCGAATGACAGATGTGCAGGAAAGCCTTAAAGCCACCTAGACAAGTCCCCTCAATGTAGAGATGAGGAAACTGAGGCCCAGAGAGGGGAAGGGACTTGCCCAAGGCCATACAGCAAGTGAATGGCAGTGAAGCCTTAAAAATGGACTCAGGTCAAGTGAGAGACAGACTGATGGAGAAGTGTGTGTGCAGGGGGTCAGGACCCTGCTCTCAGAGATACCACCACGAAGAAGGAGTTAAGCATTTCCTGCCCAGCACGGGGGCTGGAGCCTGGGCCCGCAGCTGCGGAGAGGGGAGGCCTCCAGCCCCACTCTCCCCAGGGCTCTCAGGCAGAGGGTGGGGGCGGGATGGGCGGGCATACCTGGCTGGCCATCTACAATGCCTGCCTCCTCCAGGGTGATCTCTGGCTGGCTCAGCAGCTTCCGGCCCCTCGCCGCCACCCATCTTCCAGAGGCGGGACTCCCGTTGCACTACCAGAGGCTTCTTTAACTCAGACTCCACGAAACCTGAGAGTCAGAGAGACGGGCATGGGACAGGCAGGAGAAGGGTGGACAATCTGCTGGGGATCGAAGGGAGAGGAGGTGGCTCTGGCTCTCCAAACCTCACCCAGCCCTGTGCAGCCCCTGGTCACCCCCAGCTGGGCCCCTTCTCCATCCAGTCCCTGGAGCCAGCCAGACAACACCTCCCCACTGCCCTGCCCTCCCCAGGACACTCGCTTTCCATGGGCTCCCTCCTACCAGCCTGAGTGTGAGTCTCTTTACTTACCTCCTGGGGACAGCATGCAAGGGGCAGACAACTGCCCTACCCCACCCTGCCCCCTCCAGCCACCAATTCCGGAGCACAGATCTGGAACAACCCAAACCGCCTGGGATCAAGTCCCAGCTCTGCCACTTACTAGCTGTGTGATCTTGGACAAGTTACTTACCCTCTCTGTGCCTCAGTTTCCTCACAGTGAAGTGGAGACTATAACAGGACCTACCTCAGAGTTATAATGCAGTATTTTATGAAAAGTGCTTAGAGGAGGGTTTGGCCTATAGTAATGGCTATGAAAATGTCAACAGTGATTTTATTGGAGTATGTTATTACCACTAAGCCATCTGCTCACCATGTCAGGGCAGCAAGGGGGCTGCAGAGGGAGAGGGGGCCTTCTGGGGTACTGTCACAGCAGTGCACACACGATGGGAAAACCAGGGATGGAGGTGGCCACTGAAGGAGCTAGAATTCCAGGCTGGGAAAGGGTGGTGCTCAAGGAGCCGCAGTCCCAGTCACAACCCGCCCCCAACCCCTCCACCCTCTGCTGCGTCCCGGGCCCTGAGGGAGGAGGACCCTTGCTAGACCCAGCTTAGCCTCGGGACCAGCCACACACAGCTCCCCTAGCCTGGGCAGTCATCTTAGGTCCTCTGGTTCCACCTGGTGGTCAGAACTGGTATCGCATCCATGAGCCACTGGCCAAAGTGGGGCTCCTTCTGTGGGGGGGCTGGCTGGGTGGGGAGGTGGGGGCACCACACTTACCTACTGTATCTGTCGACCTAAAAGTCTTATGCAGCGGCGACTGGAGGGTGACAATGCCTGGGACACAGAGCTTGAGTGAGCTGTCCTCCTCCTCTGTTTCCTCTTCCCCGCCTTTCTCCTCACAGGGCAGACCTTCCTTGAGAGGGAACTGGGGGTGTGCCCGTGACTGAGCAGGTGAGGAGGGTGGGGCCGAGCCTGCAGCCCCCACGCCCACGGAGACCCAGAACAGAAAGCAGGAGGGAACAACGGCTCTCAAGAGGTTCAGGCAGGTGGCTGACCCCCTGGGCCCCACCCAGGCCTCACCCCGCACTTCCAGCTGGCCCCACTGACCTTGGCCGTGGCCGATTTCTGGAGCTGCTTGTACAAGCTGAGGAGGCTGTTCTAGGCAGTTGCCCCCACCTGGGAGGAGGCCAGCCTGAGGTCTCCTGTGGAGCGGTAGTGGTCACTGATAGCTCACAGCAACGAGAGGCAGCCCAGGCCCAGGAGGACAGGGCCATCAGGAGGCTGAGCTGAGGGCCAGGTTTCCTTGTTTTCTTTAGCAAACACCTGCTACATGCTGGGCACAGTTCTAGGCACTTCACAGAGAAAATCTCACTCAATCCTTGCTACTGCCCTCTGGGATAGGTACTATTATATTCCCATTTTGCAGATGAGGAAAGTGAGACACAGAAAGGTTGAGTGACTCGCCACCATCACACAGCTTGGCCTAGTGGAGTTGGGATTCAAACCTAGGCAGCCTGCCTCTAGCGTCCCCTCAAACTGCACTGTGTCCTTCCCAGCCCTACACCCCTGGCATGTCCCCCACACCTGTGGCCACCACACTCACCATCAAGCAGACGCTCCTTCTCCTCCTCCCTGGTGAAGGTCTCGGGGCTGATATCCAGTGGCCCCATGGCCCTCTGCAAGCATCCTTGCTCCACCACCAAGGCTTGGGCAAAGTGGCCCCTGATCCCAAAGCATAGTCAGATGGGGGTGGCAGGTGGGGCCCAGAGATGTGGTGATGGCCCCCTAAACCCCCCAAGGCTCTCCCAGAGGCCCTGCTCAGCTTCCTCTATCCTCCTGCTCCCAACTACTCCCTGCTCTGCCCTCTGGGGTCTTCATCACAGAGGGGATGATCCCTCCCCAAAAGTAGGGTGAGGAGGGGCGTGGGGAGCAGAGAGAGAAGTGGGCCCCCTTCCTCACCAGGGGTGGGTGCCAGGTCCAAATGGGAGTGGGAACCAGGAGGGAGAGGTGTGGGCCAGGAGGGAGAGAGTGGGGAGGGAAGGTGGGGGGAGTGGGGCCCAGGAAGGAGCTGGGAAGTAACGGGAGCCCCGGCTCAACCCAGAGCATCTCCCTTTCCTTTTGGTGCCTCCATCCACAACCACTCACTTGCGGGAGGACCCCCATCTCTGCCTCACCCCCCTCCCCACATCTCCAGGCTCCTCTCCACCTCTGACACGTCTGTCCAACCATGCCCACCCAGTCCTCTGTCCACCCAAGGAGTCCGCTCCTGGCCCCTCCCCAATTTGGGTCCTCCCATCTCAGGCCCACATCCTTCCCCCTTCTTACATCCAGGCCTCCCCCCAGTTCCTCCATCCCAGGCTCCTTCCCGCCATCCACGGCCCAGCCCCTCACCTGTCTGAGGTCCCTGTATCCCCTGCTGCCTCCGTCTGCTCCTCTTCCCTCTCCTCCAACTCAGACAGGTTGCCCAGCACCTCCTGGCTTCCTCTGGGCAGGACCGGCTTCACCTCTACACCCTGAGCCAGGACCCTCAGGACCTCCACGGGGGTGGGGGTCTGGGCCCCTGTGTGCCCCAGCCCCAGCCCCGAGAGATCGGGCTGTGGCAGGGCCACAGAGAGGGTGTAGGGCAGCGTGGCAGGAGGCCTGGACTCCCGCCCTGCTCCTCCCTGGTGATCAGTCATCAAAGGGGTGGAGTTCTGCTCTCGAAAGGGACAAGACTGGCCCCCCAGCAGGGGCTTGTCTGAGCTCTTTGGGCTGTCCTTGCTCCCCACCAGGCTACGGAAAAAGCGGAACATGGACGAGTGGCCCAAAATTCGGGATCGAGGGCTTGAAGCTGGGGCATCCATCCTGACAAGGACCCTGACTCAGAGGGAGGGGCCACAGCAGCCACCTCAGGACCAACTGCTTAAGAACAGGAGGAGTTTGCAAATTAAAACCTCCAGTTGGAAACTTCCAGGAGTTCTAGAAGGCAAAGGTGGGGGAGGGGTGTGGGGGGAAGGCAGGAGGTCTTAGTTGGGGGCAGAGAGTGCAAGGGGTTGATGAGGCAGGGGAAGGAGGCCTGGGGAGCCAGCCTGAAGGGGGAGGGGGTTGGCGAGGCTCCAGGAAACACCAGGGTTGGGGGCAGGCAGAGGTGGCTGGAGAACCTCAACTCTGAGAATGGGGTGGAGGCACACAGCTCTCTCCAGGCCTGTCCTTCCCTGGCTGCGGTCGCTTCTGTCCTTGAGAACCATTCAATCCCTGAGGCCAGAGAGTCTCTGTCCTCCCTCTTCTCTCTCCTCTCAGTATCCAGCTGGCACATGCCCAGGTGGTAGCACAGACCCACTGTTTTCATCTGTTTACCTGCCTATCACATTCAGGATTTTTCTCTCTGGAGACCACCGAGGTGCTTGGTGTACAGGTCTTAATTGCGCGTTGAATCTCAATTTAGTATTATTATTCCTCACGGCACCTACAGACCTGATTATAAACCCAGCTCAGTGACCTTGGGCAAAGGTTCCTTAAACCAGCTGAGCCTCAGTTTGTTCAGCTCTAAGATGGGTGTGGTCCACTGCACTTACTTCCAAGGGTTGTTCCAAAGAGGTTTTAAAGTGCCTGGTACACAGTGGCGCTTAAGGAACCTCGCCATCCTGGCTTTTTTATTGACATTGATGGAAGCAGGGGAAAAAGATCAAGGATGAGGACTGGGAATCAAGGGTGGGAAAAGCAGTGGGGGAGGGGGAGCCACTCTGCCTGGGTGGGAGCCGCTCTCTCCGCCTGGGAGCCCTGTAGGCTGGGGCATCTGCATCCGGCGGCCACAGAGCAACTTCCTCTAGAGGGAGCTGATTGGAGCCGGGAACCGCCGGCACCTCTATGATCGCCGCAGCCTCGCGGGTCCCTAGGGCCGTGCTGGGACCAGCAGAGGCTGCATCCAGACACCAGGAATTCACTGACGCCCCTTCCTGGGAGCCAGGCCTGGGTACCTGACCCTGGGAGCAGCCACTGGCCCCTCAGGATCTCCAGCCTCTGTCCTGCTGAGCCGTCCCGGGCCTGGGCCAGGGTCCGGGCAGGTAAGCCGGGAGGGTCCTGCCCAGGCTCCCCACTCTCGGCAGCCCCCGGCCCAGGGTGAGGCAGGGAGCCCGCAGGGAGCCCGGTGGGGAGGGGGAGGCCTCGAGGCTTGTCTGGGCAGCTCCAGCAACTCCTGCTCAGGGCCTGATCCGGCTGGGGCTCCCTCTGGCTGCTCCTCAGACAGCTTTCCCTCTTGGCCTGGCCCTGGTGCCAGAGAATCGGGTGCTAAAGAACCAGGTTCTTTAGCAGTCTGGGGGATGGGAGTGGAGGTCAGAGCCAAGGTCAAGGGTACGGGGAGAACTTTCACAGCACTTCCTGCTGTCCCAGGAGCCCTAAGACTAGGTCTTCAGCAGGGCTAGGTCTGCATCTCCCCCGCCCCCCGGGAAACATCCTGGGCCCAGCAAACCCCGCAGGTGGGGCACAGTGGACTCTCCCTACCAGGAAGTCAGGCCACTTGGATGGGGGCAGAGGTAGACCCAGGTCGGCATAGGCCTCTGGCCCTGGGGCCGGTTCTGAGGCTCCACTTTCTCCCCAGCATTGAGCCCCAGGGGTAGCGGTAGAGGCAGTCAGAGATGCAATCAGCATCCTCCAGCCCTGCTGTCCTGGGCGCACTAGGTTTCGGAGACCAAGGGAGAGAGGAAGGTACCTTGTTCAGGAAGACGCTTCTGGGATGGGGGTGTGCCAGGCAAAGGTCTGTCTTAAGGAGTCTGGGCACCCAGGGGTGGAGGAGGGGAGAGTTAGTCTTCTCCCTGTCCCTGCCCTGAGACAGTGAAGGGGTGGAGAGCACAGGTGGTCTGGACTTTCCCCACCCTTCTCCTCAGGCACTTTCGAAAATGGCCCCAGGCCTGAGAGGGAAGGTGGGGGGAGGGTACCCAGGCCCTCCCAGGGAGAGGAGGAGGGGGGCTTCCCACCTGGGTGATGGAGGCAGCTTTGGGGTGGGGGGAAGTGAAGGGGGTGCAAATTGAAAGTGAAATAGCTTATGTCCAGGAAATACTCCCTCTGTGGAGGTTTACAGAGCATACTGGGGTTGTGACCAGGACTGGGCAAAGGAGGAAAATACGGGCTGGAGACAGGAGAGCAAGGGGTACATGTGATTTCCTCAACCATCTGCTAGGCAGAAATGTGAAGATCACAGGCGGACGCAAACAAGGGAAGTTTCCCCGGAAAGAACACCCTCTAAGGTCCACAAACTGAAAAAAAATCTGAAATGAGTGCTGAGTGGAGGACTGACTCGTGGAAATTCAAATAACCAACCTGACTCCTTGACTAGCTCTGTGGCCTTGAGCACTAACTTCTTTGTGCCTCCCTTTTCCCACCTGTAAAATGGGTATGACACTGCTTACCCTGCCAGGTTAATGTGTTCTTCCATGTCCCACACTCCCTGGGGAGTACTTGAACATATATGGTAGAAGTATACCATAGGCACTCAGGAAATGCTTGCGGCTAACGGGCCTGAGTTGGAAAACAGGTGTGTTCTGACTAGCCAAGGGGAAGTGGAACCTTCGGGGACGGGCTTCGTGGGTCATTGGCTGGAAGGTGGCAAGTCTGCAGTAAGCGTGTGCTGGGTAGGGTGCAGGAGGCCCCAGGAGCAGCGGAAGGAACCCCAGCTTCTGAAACTCGCCTCCCAGTGCAACTAGAGATCCACTCGGGCACTGCTGCGGCTACCCCTCCCCGGGCCCTGGCTGACCCCTGGGTGGGAATCTTGGCTGCCCAGCCTTTCTCACTCCCAGTCTCCTTGAAGAACTGCCAGTGAAATACTCAGTAAGTTCTTAGGATGGTGCGGTCTTTCAGGAGTGGGGGTCCCCTCCCTCCGTGTGCTCTGGTCTCCATGTCTGCTTTCCTACCCACCCCCACAGGCTAACACTGCCCTTCCTGCCAGGACCTGAGAAATGGCATCCGGACAAGGCCCAGGTCCTCCCAGGCAGGGGTGCGAAGAACCTGACCCCTCCTCCACTTCGGGTAACTGTCTTTCTGCCCCCTCACCCCTCCCATAACCACCAGGGCCATCTGTGAGGATGGAGAGAGCAGATGTGGACAAGCCGGGCAAGATTTAAAGGCAGGCTCTCCCGCCTCAGTTTCCTCACCTTGGGTAAAGGAGAAAAGCATCTCCCTACCCAATGCAGGCAGGGGGCAGCAGTGGGGGGAGTCTTGGCAGGGGCAGGGGTGGGGGGTGCAGAGGCTGGGGGAGGCGGGGCAGTGAGCATGAGGTGGGCACCCTGCCATCTGCGAGGAGGAGGAAAGAAGCGTGGGGCATGGCTGTCCTATCCCTGCCGTGGGAGAAATAAGGAAGTAAATCCACCTATCACCGAGTCAGGTCCGCTCAACAGGGAGAGGGATTGTTAATGACTTTGGGGAGGAAGTAAAATGGCTGTCCCTCTTTCCTCTTCCAAGGGGAACATCAGGGACGCCTGCAGCTCGCAGCCCAGCACAGGCTGTTCCCTGGACTTTGGGTTCGGTCCCAGGTCTGTCACTATTTCCCGATGTGACTTTTCTGGGCTACAATTTCAAATTCTGTCTCCCACGTTCCCTAAGCCATAAGGGCTCAGTGCCTTGGACAAACTAAAATAAAGTCGGGGACCCAAATGCCTGGGATTCTATCCTGGCTGCACCGCTCTCTCCAGCTGTATGCCCTTGTGCAAGTTACGTAAACACTGCACCTCAGTTTCCCCATCCGTAAACTGGGGGTTGCCTACTCCACAAGGCAGCTGTGACAAGAATCCTCTGCTCAGTGTCAGCCCTAGGTGGGAACTAAGGGCTAGAGGAGGGACACCTCTGTCCACAGGCAGAGTGAACCATCCCCAGAGCACTTCCTCCCTGAATCCTGGCTTTGATCCTCAGAGGAGCAGGTAGCCCGGGACACCGAGGAGGTTTTCCGCAGCTACGTCTTTTACCGCCATCAGCAGGAGCAGGAGGCCGAGGGGGCGGCCGCGCCCACTGACCCAGAAATGGTCACCTTGCCCCTAGAACCTAGCAGGTGAGCAGCAGCCCCCTGGGCCCACGGGGACATGTTCAGGGAGATGGAGGCTCACGTGGGGTCACCACGCAGGTCCTGGGAGCTGGACAGGCCTGGGGGTTTTTTTCCCACTGCTGCTCCTTTTTCGTGCGGGTTCCCACCCCCATCCGGGACCTGGCACCCTTTTCAGCACATGCCTGCCCCTTGTCCCTGGGCCCAGCCCTCGTGTCTGAGAACACGGTCGGGACCGCCAAGGAGGGGGTCCCAAGGCCAGGGCATCTCGGGCAGGAGCCCTCTGCCGTGAGCCCAGGCGCCAGCTCACCTGCTGCCTACCGTTCCTCGAGTACCATGGGGCAGGTGGGTCGCCAGCTGGCCATCATCGGGGATGACATCAACCGGCGCTACGACTCCGAGTTCCAGGCCATGTTGCAGCACCTGCAGCCAACAGCAGAGAACGCCTATGAGTATTTCACCAAGATCGCCTCAAGGTAGCTCTGGCCACTGCCTCTCCGCTGCGCTGTCACCACCATGCCGGGCCCTGCCCATGGGATGGGAGACACACTTCTCTGTCGGCGCCAGAAGATGTGTTTGCCATCCCCGTGTCTGCTGTTAACTCACGCGGGGCCTTGGGCCCCTGTCTTTCTCTTTCTGGGCCCAGACTCTTCATCTTTGCATAAGCGCACAGCCCTTGTTAACTCTGGCCCCGAGGACTTGACCTGTTAGATCAGGGCTATAGAGGGGCTCGCGGTGAGGGTGTCCCCAGAGCTCCCCAGCCCAGCTGGGACACGGCTGTCCTTCTGATTTGGAACCACATTTCACACCAAAGATGGTTGCTGGCTCTCGCTTCAGCCCACCAGGTCCTGGAAATGGCTTCCAGAAGCCATAATCTGGTGTCAGACAGGCAGTGGTTAAAGAAACCAGCAGCCTGGGCAAATCTCAGCTTTGCCATTTACCGGCTTTTTGAAAGTTCCTAGCCTTCAGTTTCCTGGTCCGTAAAATAGGGGAAATATGCTTAGAACAGTGTCTGCACCTAACGGTGTTAGCTGTTGTCACCATCTGGGTTAAAGAGGTCGGTCTCAGGGTAGGTTCGAGGCTGAGGGTGAAGGCAGGAGTAGCCGATAGATTCAGAATTAGTGCTCGGAGCTGAAACATCCTGCCCGTGTCCTGAGAGGCCACCGCCCACTCAGCTGTGATTCCAGGACTGGACTGTCCTAACCTCCTCTTCTGTCCTTTTCTCTCTGCTGTCCCTCGGGCTGCCAGGCCAGCAGCAATGCCCACAGGTAATCTCCCTGCTGCCTCCATCTGCTCGCTCTGCCCTCCACGCTCTCTGTGCCCCTTTGCTCCCCCAGCCCTGGGGCCACAGCCCCAGCAGCAGCATCTTATTCATCTGCCCTCTGAGCTTTCTCCTTTCACAGAGACACGGGCTCTAACCAAATTGAGGCCAGGCTGGGGCAGCCTCTACCACCTCCATTCACAACTAAGCCATTTTGCTTTCTGGCTGGGAGAGGGGTAGGGGTCTCCAAGGGGGTGGGAGAGGCAAACAGATGAAGGGCCGTCTAGAGGTCTCCACTGATTTTATCTCCTCGGCCCGCAGCCTGTTTGAGAGCGGCATCAACTGGGGCCGAGTGGTGGCTCTGCTGGGCTTTGGCTACCGCCTGGCCCTCCACGTCTACCAGCGCGGCCTGACTGGCTTCCTGGGCCAGGTGACCCGCTTTGTGGCCGACTTCATGTTGCATCACTGCATCGCCCGGTGGATCGCACAGAGGGGTGGCTGGGTGAGTGCCCAAGCATTGACCACCTCCTCCCTGCTGCTAGGGCCGCCCCTCTCCCAGCCCCACCCCAATCCCCAGGAGCTGAATATGCCGCCAGCCCCGCTATGACCACTCTGTCTCTCCCGGCAGGTGGCAGCCCTGGACTTGGGAAATGGCCCCATCTGGAATGTGCTGATAGTTCTGGCTGTGGTTTTGTTGGGCCAGTTTGTGGTACGAAGATTTTTCAAGTCATGACTCCTGGAGGGGTCCTTTGGAGTCCTGAGACCCCCGTGTGGACTTTGGCCCAGTCTTCCCCCTTCACCTCCTCCCCTGCAGGGGTCCCCTCCTTAAGAGCACAGAAGCTTTAGCAAGTGGGCACTCCAGGTTTGGAGGGCCCCTTCCCAGGGGTCCATCAGACTGCACGGGTGCCCCAACATTGCGTGGTGCTAAAGGGCCCCCTCTCAGAGAGGGGCTATGGCCCCCTCCCTTAGCTCTCTGGGACCCCCTCTGCCCTGTCTGCTGGGTGTTGGGGAGATGATAAGTTGGGGAAGCAAGAGGCTAGGAGCCGCTTCTCCCCAAGAAGTTGTTAACGGTTTTAGCTTTTTATAATATCCTTGGGGGGACACTCCCCACCTCCGATTCCCACCTCTCTACCCAAAGCCAGGACGTCTGGGGTGTGGGGGTTAATAGCCCTACGCTTTCCCAGGATTCAGCTGTTCTGGAAGGTCAGAGCTTAAATGCTGGGCCTGGAGCTCAGTCCTGGACCTTCCTAAACATCACGTCCCCCAGGAACAGGACCAGTGGGGGGTGGGGATGAGGTATGGCTCAGCTCCCCTCCCCGCCCCGCTCCCACTGCCCCATATTGCCTTTGCAGCTGGACTCTCAGGGATTCCGGGGGGTGCAGTGGGGGTGGAGTAGGGGTGCAGACCATCAGCACCTTCCAAGCCTGCCTCCTGAGGCCCTCATTCTCTCCCTTCCCCTCACCTATTACCACTTGCTCCCACGCCCACGCCCCACCCCTGCTCACTACAAGTGGAGCTCGCCCCACCCCCATCACTCCAGAAAAGGCAGGCAGGGGGCTTGGGTGAGTGCAGTGCTGAGGCCCCCTCCTCGCTCAGACTACAGGGCTTAGGCCTGCGGTTTTGTTACGGTCAGGAAAAGGGGGTAGGGAGCTCAACCTGGAGTTTCTGAGTGAGAGAAGGGCTATTAACACCACTAGGAATCCCAGGGTTGGGAGCCGCCCTCGTGGCCTGGGCACAGTGTAGTCTGGGGTTACGGACAGGGGAACTGTGAATATTTGAACTCGACCCCCAGTCTCTACACTCCTCACTCCACACCTGCCCAAGCCTCTCCTGATGGGTGGGGTAGGAGTGCCTCGTCTACCTTGTACAGCCTAGGGGTTTGGAGGTCAGGGGAGAGGAGTTCTTGACGAAGCCAAATGCGGGGAGGGGGTGCAGGTGGAGCCAGCTGGCCACCTCCCACCCTCTGAGTGTGTCTGAAAATAAACTGCAATCCCTCCACTCCCACTTGATCATTTTTGTCTCCTCTGCTACCCTTCCCTCCATCAGGCTGGACGGGGAACCTGGGCACGCCTGGCTTTCACCTGGTTTTTACTGACAGGTCTCATCTCGGGCCTCCTGAATCCCGTGGAGGGCTGGGTGTTTCTCCAGCCTCCTAGAAGGCCTTGGCCCCTCCCCACTCTTCTCCAGCCCCTTCTCCAGGAGCTACCCTCATTTCTTTGGGTTCCAGGCAAGTTTCCCATGCCCACAGGGTGTCAGGGGTCTCCAAACTGCTAGGCTCTGGCTGCAGAGCTGGTGGGGCAGCTGCACCTACCTGCCTGGGGACCCCCACAGACCTGGCCTGAATCCCTCTCCGTTCCGGGGGCCACCACCCACGCTTGGCTCCACCTGGGACACAGTGTCCCGGCTCCCTCTTCCCGATGTGCCCCACAGCTAGCACACACACACCGGGCTTTTCATTCTAGGAGTTTTGTGCTGCATGGGAGTCCCTATGGGGACGCAGCCAGGGGTGATAAAAATAACAAGCATGGGGGCGTTTAAATGTTCCAAAATCTACAAAGTCTTTCCAGTCCTGGGCACCCTGGTCTGTTTTCTGACACCCTTCCAAAGTGGTCACATGCAAGTCCTAAAGGATTCAGGCTTCTCTTTCACTCCCCCGAGGGCATCTTGCCAATCCCCTGGGCCCTCCGACTTGGTCTTCAAAGAGCCCACGTACTGGCTGCAGTCATAGGGAGGGGGCCCCTGCAGCAGTGGTGGCTCAAAGGGGGTGGATACAAGGCCCCTTGCAATTTCCTGCAGGAAAAGCTCGGAGACGACATTTACGGAACACACTCTGTGCCGGGCTTTATGCTGAGAATTCATCATACATGCCCAATCAGTAGGTATTATAGCTGGTGACCGGGAATAGGGGGGGCCCTAAACTCCCACTTTACAGATAAGGAAACTGAGGTACCTGTCCAGAGTTACCAGGTAGAAAGGTTGGGGAGCTGGTACTTGCCACCAGGATACCGCCTCAAGGTTTTACATGGAGGCCGGAAGGGTGGGGGCTGGGGCCGTTGGTCTTGAGCACAGGTCTGCCAAGGGGTGAAGCCGTGGAGGTAGCCTACACGCCCTACGGGCGGGAACCGCGCGACCCCTCTGAGAACGCCGGGAAGGGAGCCGGCTGCCCGGGTCAAAGATGGCCGCTGCTGCATCGAGCACGCAAGCGTGCCCTCTCGTGGGCAGGGCCTCGGCGCGCACCTCCCACCCCCTCCCCGCGGGAGGCTGGAAGAAAGGTGGGCCCTGGTGGCAGCTGTGTGTCCTCTGCCCCTCTAAGAAAGGCGTTAGAACGCTATCCTGAAAGGCGTGGGGAGCCCCATAAGGTTTTGGCCTGTGTCTAGCCTTCCACTCCACCCTCTATTCTGCCAGGATGAAGTTGCCAAAACAGAAATCTAAATACATCCCGGAGCTGTGAGGCGTGAGAACTTAGGAGGGACAGAATAAGGCAGGGAGCAGATGGGCTCTGCAGGTATTAAGGAAGTTAAATCAAATTCTTCTCAAGATTTGTAGTTCTTCTGAAATTGTACCTTCGTCTCCTGCAAAGAGGTCTAGATTCCTCCGTCCGTAGTGCCATGGAGCTGGGGCAATGCAGCCAGGGGAAGGAGCGTGTTCAGGTGTCAAGCTCAGTTGTGCAGCGTCAGTATAAACTGGCACCTGCCCTGCCTCGAACCCGGTGCCTCCCCGCCCCCACCCCGCAGCGTACCTTCATGTGTTTGCTGTTTTACAGCCTCTGAAGAAAGTTTATTTTAGGCCACAGGGTGACCATCCAAATGAGAAAATCCTTCCTTTGCCCAAACCACTCAGTAGATTGTTTGAACAAGTTTTTAGGACCTAACCATCTGAATAGCATTAAAATCAATTCGTTAGTTAATTAAAATAAATAAAACAACCATATCCTGCTCCAGTTGTACACACCAAGGATGTAAAGGCCCAGATCAAAGACACTTGTAAAATCCGATTTAGTTCAATCTAAGCAGAACAGGTGTGTGTGTGTGTGTGTGTGTGTGTGTGTGAGTGAGACAGAGACAGAGAGAGAAGGGAGTTACAAGAGATTGCCAGAGGTATCTAAATGTGAAGGACCAGAAAATCAGCAAAACCCAGCTTATGGGACATGGTTGCCAATTGCCAAACACCGTAAAAAGGTGAACACCAGACTACTGGGATATAAAAGATGGGGGAAGAGGAGGGATTCAGCCCACCAGTTAACAAGAACAAAAAGCAGTGGTCTGCCCTATCGAGCACATGACTGGAAGCAGATCCCTGGCAAATTGTATGAATGAATCAAAAGAGGGGCAACCTCACAAGACCAAAATCAAGGGATGGAATAACATGGGCAGAAACTGGACTTTCTGAGAAAAGTCAATAGCTTAAGAGACGAAAGCCACAGAATCTCCCTCCACCTGGAGTATGGGATTTGGCAACGGATGCAGGCAGGCACCAAATGGATACCTGTGAGCATGCATCCATTGCTGAAATAAACATGGATATGAGTATACCTCTCAGCTCCACTTAACCAACTCTTCCTTTGCAATCTGGGAATCATTCCTGGTGCCCAATGCCTCAAGTTTTTGAAGGTTCAGCTAAGAACACAGTTCTTCAAAGTTTTCTGTTCCATCACATCATGCAGTGAACCTGCCTTGCAAAGTTCACAGCACAGACTTTTGTGATGATTGGCTGCATGGAAGCTGGGCTCACCAGGCTTCTCATGTTTTGACTTGAACCCTCTCTTAGCTGACCTTTGACCCTACTAAGAGCACTTTCTCCAATTCATTTCCAGCAGATGGTTAGGCTTCCTCGAGAGTGAGAACAGTTTCTTGCTTAATTCTCGGGAGGACCACACCAGGGTGAATTTGGCATGTCCAGCATCTCTGAACTGTGTATGTTATGAATCAGAGTGCATAGGAGGCACTGGGCTGGGCTTAGGGATGTGGGTTCCCATGTCTGCTAAAAAAGAGTGAGATTTCCAGGAACCTGATTGCCAGCCTACTAGCAAGCTGAGTGTGAGAAGGGCTGAGTGCAGGCTAAAAGCCAAATGCTATCCTGGTGAGGAGGTGGGGGAGTCCCTGCACTCAGTTGTGATGTGTAGTGTAATGGACGAGATTGTTTTTACATGACGTTGGCTGGCCTGAACAATGGGCTGGATAGGAGTAGCCCTCCTTCCTTCTCCCAGTGAGAGGAGCCACACCCAAGCTCAGCTGACGGCTGGACTGGGGGCTTTTCCAAATATTCTGTGCCCCCCTCCTTGGCCAGTTGGGGACACAGTAACATCCGTAGGCCAGAGGTGTCCAGTTACTGGCATCCTCAGACAACTCCTGTAATGGGCTGGCCCCCCGAATCCAGACTGAATGGTGCCAAGCAGCCTGGTGTTCCTTCATTGACAAGGCTGCTTTCCCATGCTAGCTCCATACAAAGGCAGAGTGATGGCAAGAAGGCCCTTCGCTGGAATGCACACTGTAAAGCAGGCCCAGCTACCCCTGGCCTGGCTCGCCGCCACAGAATGAGATGAAGGTCAGAGGGCTGCGGCTGCTTCTCTTATTGACCTCCTTGTTTTCTCTTTCCCCAGCAAAGATGGGTGTCCTACAATTTAACTCAAATCTGACACTTGTCTACCTGGAGATAGCATCAGATCCCCCGAGTTAAGGGCTCAATCCCTGAAGACTACCCCCGCCCCCACCTCAAATGCCAATCGCAAGTCCA